CAAAGTAAATTGCCGTGAACACAGTCACTATTGCCATTTTGAAATACTTTCATACGCAAAAGCTCAAAACAGTAACACTATAGAACTGTCACCACACTAAGTAAATACAAAGAAAATATTTATTAGTAGTAGTATTACCTATTCTAATTTAATAAAGTAGAAGAAGCCGCACTATGCCGTGATTCTAAAAGCAACTGGATTGAATCATTGAAATATTGAAATAGACATTGGTTGAACACCTACGTCACGAGCTAACCTACCTGAATCCGGGACTCATGACAACACCAACTAAAATATGACAGAAAGAAGAACTCGCCAGGATGAAAATTAGACTATGTGATGAATGTCTAATACTGTGTCAGAAACAATATTGTGACGATTATTATCCCAAGATGATACCTATTTCAAAAGAAGATTGGAATGAATTGATGGATTGGTATGTTCAAATAGAAGAGGAATATCTTATCGATGAAAACTGACTATCACGTCCAACTATACCACTACCAATTGACTGGTTTGATTCCCTTCACGAAACTAACGGATGGAATCAAAGAAAGCAAAAAACAACTGATTGGTTTAACGAAGTAGAACAATACTTTGCTGAATCAATCAATGATCCAATTCCATCCAAAATAAACAAGTATCAACTCTTATGACCAAAAGGAAAAGAACAAAAAATTAAATGCTATGTCAAAAAAGAAAATGTAAAAATACTGACAAAAGCACATGACACAGATGCTGAATTCGATTTATATTATTTAGGAAAAGAATCGCTTATCCTGTTATCCAAAGAAATCACCATAATCGATTTAGGAATCATAGTGAAAGTTTTCAAAATAGTATGATGCAATTAGCATCGAGATTATTACTCGCAAAGAAAGGAATTACTGTCAAAGGAGGAATTATAGACTCTGAATATATCAGAAATTTGCAAATCATTCTGAAAAATGGATCAAAGAAGGACTATAAAATAATACTCTAGGAAAGAATAGGTCAGGCTCTCTATCTGCCTATTCTACCAATTAAAAAAATAACACCAGTAAAAACATGTACTGAACTAAAGAAAAGTAAACGAGAACAAAAGAGATTAGAATCAACCAGAAAAATGAAACAAATGATCAATTTAATTGACATACCTGAAGAAAATGGTGATGACATCATCTAGGAAATGCCTATTCTACTGGAACGAACAATCGCAATCTATCTGAAAGGAATGATCATTTGGAAAAGTTGAAATAAAGAAGTCATTAGCTCCAAATCACTTCTATTCGAACCAAATCACGAACTATTTGAAAAATATGGACTTAACTGTAATCACCAGTACATTGTGCCTGGAAAACGGTACAAAATTCAAATTACTCTGATCAATCAAAAGGACCAGACTATCCTATTGGAAGAAGGAACTATACTAGAATATGTCGAAGACAAAGTCGAATATTTATAAACTTTTTATTGTACAAAAGACATGATCCATTATTTCAAAATCGAACCAAAACAAGAAAGAATGAAGAAAAACATTCAAAATGTTGAGACCTATGTCTTAACAATTAAACACTTACCAGGAGCCTAATCATGACACTGAAAATAATCTCAAACAAGTGCAGCAAGCAACTTCTAAATCTTTCTAAAAACACAAACTGCATCGATAGATGATAGTTACTGCATGTATAGAGATAAAAGCTTACTAGATATAAAGCACTATTGGTATTTCTTCAGGAAAGTTGAGCATAAAGCTACTTGCAGCTCGAATTTTCTGAAGGGATTTATTAAAAGATTTAAAAGAAAAAATTCAAAAGCTAAAATTTCTTACAAATTGTGTTCATTCAGAATCTTTATTCGAAAGCTAAACTTCTTACATATTATATACATACAGAATCTTTATTCGAAAAGCTAACAACCTATCTGGCTGAAGTGCAAGAAGCTGATTTTGCTGCCACTATCGCTGAGCCTCATGAGACCTTTTATGAGTTCTTAGAGGCAGCAACAGGAGCCCCTCATGACAAAGATCAAAATGTATTTAGTATCGCTCATATTCTAATTATTTAATACATTAACACACTTAAAAAATTGATAATACAGCAAATCCTTTGAAAGAAATTCATGAATTTTTTGAAATCACAGTCAGCAAAAGCTAGAATAAAAAATTTTACAGCAGCAGCACTAGAGATGGCGCTATTACAGCTTGAAATTATCCTTAAATTCCTTAATTTCTTAATTCTGATCATGTGACTCAACATAGATTGTAAAGATAGCAGAGATAGCAGAGTTCTCAGA